CCTGCTGAGAAAAGGAGCTGCTTAAGGGAAGACTCAAGACAGAGAGGCATAAAATATAAAAGATGCCACAGACTCAGAATATATTCTGTACATTTTTAGAATATACAGTTCAAGTTGGCCTTTCTAAAGAAACGATATATTGAAAAAAATTACAACTGCTTAATACCAATTGTGTCTTTCAGTACAAGATTCCTGGGGCTCAAAATAAATAGAGAACACCTTGCCATGCACAGAAATGGAAACCTGGCAAAGCTTTCAAGGATCATTTCAGTGTGGTTTGACAACAGCCCTTAAGCAATACAGTAAAAGGTCTCTGAAAATTACACAATCATAAAGAAATCCATTTTAATTAATTTCAATACTTACTACTGCTTCCATATCTGAAGTATCAGCTGGAGCAAACATAGACTGAACCATAAACTTGTGTTTACTTTTCTCATTAGGGTCATAGTCAAAAGGCTGTAGCATCACTGCAAGAAAAACCCCCAAAACAAATTAAATTAACATTGCTTTGATGCACAGTCATGCACTGATGATACAGTTACCATATTTTAGAAATACAAACATTAAAATGGTTTCAAGTTGTATGTCCGTTATGACCAAAGCAGCAGCTGAGATCAGGAAACTCACTTTAAAACAGACGTTTAAAAGAAGAGAAACAGAATTACTCAGTCTGTAAAGATTTTTGTTTGAGAATCTTGGAAATGTTAATCACTACAATAATCCATACACAACTACGGCAAGATAATAACAGTAATTTATAGTAAATAGGATAATTTACATATCTTCTGTGACAAGAGAGGAAAATTCTCAAAGCAAGCATCTTTTTTTTCTTCCTCCATCCTTGGGGCAGAAGTAACAAGCTGGCATTTTGATTAGGTGTACACACAGTATCGCTGATGGTTCCTGAGAAAAGCTACAGAGCCAAAGTCAAACATTTTAAACCTTGAGGTTCAAGTCTCAGGATGGAAATTTCCTCTACAAAGTTTAAGAGTCTCATGGTATTTGTTTTATCAAGTACAAGTATTTCTCCTCCAAAAATAAGTTCCTGAAAGTTTGTTAACAGTTTATAGCTGGAAGTTTACAGTTAAATGCTATATAAACTTTGCCGTATATATTGCCGTATATATTCAAAAGTATACAAGAAATTATTTCTCTCCATTCAAAACCCACAAATATTCCAGAATTTACTTATGCAGAAAATGACAGTTCAGGGGGCAGAGAGCAAGGAAAGGCAGGTTTGGGCTCTGTGTTTGTGTTTTTAGGTTTGGGTGTGGGGTTTTTTTGTGGTGTGTGTTTTGGGGTTTTTTTTGTTTGTTTTTTTTTTTTCTTTTTATTTAGTATTACAAATTTCCTTGTCTTTTCTTTTTGGGTAAAGAACTAACATGTTAAAAGTAACACGTTAGTTAGACAAAAACAATACACCTGAAGAGGGAAAGTTATGTTATTTCATTTACATGGAATATCCTTTAATCACAGTGGTCACTTAGAACCCTTACGTTTTGCAAATGACACCTGGATATTCAGCTACTGTGGCATTAACACAGGTTTGGTGTCAATGTGAGACAGTACATATGTGAAAATATGCAAAGAAGTTTACACAAATATGTTATAGATTTTGCAAAAAGCTACCCCCCCCCAATTTAAACTGAAGCTTACATATACTGCAATTACTGCCAACATAAAAAAACATGATGTAAGGTTTAAAAATTCACATTTTACGCCTCATGAGGCTACTTCAGTCCCTCAATCCAACAGCTATGAAGAGAAGCGGTTCAAGAATTACCATTACTTTAAAGTACGAGTGCTATTAACATTATGTGCCCAAACTCATACACCACTAATTGCAGGGGTTTGTCATATAAAAGCAATATCCAAAGATCCCATTTATTGCAAATGAAGGCAAGTCAAACCAATTTGCCTCCTTCAATGAGCAGAATATGTTATGTGCCATCTTTATTATGCACACAAACTGTGGCTATCAACAACCACATGCTTTTTAAAGCCGGAAGAAAAGGAAGAGGCAAATTCTTTCAGATGAGGTACTTAAAAAAATTGTTATACATTTTTAACTCACCTTGCAGTAATCAAATACTCATCCAAAATAAATGTTTCCAAATTAACAGGCTACTTTTAAAACTATTTTTCCAAACAGAGGTGACTGCATTGTGAAAGCACAGGTATTTCAACATTGCCCGATACATCACTGAAAAGCAGCAGCGTAATTTTTTTCTCCCCTGTAGTAGGCACCTCAATTATTTCAAGTCTACATAATGCGTAAGAGCCAACTGGGGAGTCAAAACTATCCCCTGTTTATGGAACTTCTCCAGATCTGCAGGTTTTTTCAGTTTGCTTTGCTGAGTGCAGTTATAAGCTCATTTGAAAATCATTACTTCCCAAGTGACAGTACTGAAGCCATCCTCAAACACCAAACGATTGCTGCTCTGAATTCCATTCACTGAATCATAAGAGCAAGCAGCTAGAGAGGGCTTGACAGTACAAATGTTGTTAGTGCTGGTATTTTTAGATCAATACATGAAAGCCACATTGACACAAATTATTCAGCAAATGCCTTGTAAGCCAGATGGGAAGCTCAAAAAGATGTACTTTGTTCAAGAGGAAACCAAACCATTTCAACATTTATTCACATACTATTGGGGGTTTCTGTGAAAGATCAGTTCCATGTAACTGTCCCAATTGCTGGAGAACTTGCTACTGTCAGTGTGGCTCCTTTGCTTTGACTAGAAATTCCATACCTTATGCAAGAACTACGTGAAAACCATATATTCCTACACCCTAATAAGCCAGTCATCTCTTCTGGTCAAAAGTTTCTGACCAGCTTTCATCAGAACCTAGAGTTCTAAGGAACAAGATTATTAACATGAGCTTCAAGTTTACTAGCACCAGCACGAGGCATTTCAACCACCTTCTAAACTGATTACCCTACAGCTAAAGCACCAGCAGTTATTCTACCACAAGCAAAAACTGCAAAGTCACTGAGAGATCAACGGAATGACAAGTAACACGATTTGTATTTGCTAGCTCACTTGTTTCTCAAAATTCAAACGAAGGACCAACCTTATGTACATCCTGTTCTGAAGTGTTTCCAAAGAAATGGATACCAGTTTTCTCACAAATTCCTGCCATACTCCCCATGTTACGCATGATCCTCTGTAGATAAGTGAAGGGGAGGCGGTGACCACCTAATATACTCTTTCTTTTCCTAGAACAGTTCACTGGCAAAGTTAACAACAATGGCAGAAGCATTAAACTCTTCTGGTTTTCTCAAGAATAAACCTGCTTTCTCAAGGAACAGAGGAAATTTGAAGCAAGGAACATGGAAGGAGGCAAAACTCCACCCGTAATGCCTGCTAGGATCTAGCACTCCCCTCCAAGAGCAGAAGGAACAGAAAAGTCTCCCTGCTCAGATAGTCAGCAACCTTCCTCTAGTTTCTATCTAAAATTATTAATGGCCTGTTTACTTGGTCCTGGACCAATACTGTCCTTATGCTTAAATATCAAAGAACGGAAAGAGTCATTTACTTCTGGTGCACTCCAAGACATCAATCACAGTAACTCTTGGCCTTCTGGTAAACTAAACAAGCCAGACTCAGTGGGTCCTCTCCAGGCCAGGCTCCCCATTCATTCCTTGCACCTGTTCTGGCTTGAGCTCCTCTAGATGAGCTACTCTAATTATGCATCCAGGAAATTTTACTACTGCCTTGAACAACAGCATTTACACTCTCTTATCTCTTCCATTGCCCATCCTGTTTGCACATACTACATTTGCCTTGTTCACAGCCACATTATGTCGGCATCTTGGTCACCTTATCTAGCCCCCTTTGTTTAACGAGCTTGCAATTATAGCAGGAGTCTTTTATTCTCCAAGTACGTGATTTTGCAGTTTTTCTGATGAAACTCATCCCCTGTTTTCTCTTACCGTAGCCTTCAAGGACACCCAGTTCTGCTGTATATCTTCAGCTTCCCAACTTGACATCATCATCAGGGTTTTTAGTGTACTCTTTGTGCCAGAATTGCTTATAAAAGCATTAAACAAGATTAGTACCAAGAATCATTCTCAAGAAATGTCACTAGTAACTTCCTGCTATTACATTTCCAACCACCACATCACTGTTTACTCTTAAGTAGCCCATTCAATAGTCTGTGATTCTATTTTTCTTTTCTAGCTTTATTGATAATTTTTCCCAAATGGCATAGCATGAAATTCTTTACTGCCAAGACAGATCAAATCTACCACACTTGTGTCACCTTTACATAAAATATCCCAACCACCTCCAAGGGCAAGCCTCATGATCATTGTGCAATTTGCTCAGCTCTGCTAGAGGTGAGCAAAGGACACTCACATCTAGAGAAACAGGCAGAATCCACCGCACCACTTCGCATTTGTTCCATGTTTACATAGTTCTTCCTGTAAATATTTCAATATTACTAAAAAGTGTTGAATCTGTGAAGATCAAGATAGATTCTTCTAATGCGAGCAGACAAAACCAAACCAAAGCTTGGCAGGCGCTACGCAGTGCTGGGCTGCCCGGGGGAACGGTGCGCGGCAGCGATGCTGCCTCGGGAGCGCCGGGGGCTGCAGCAGCAGACAGGACACCACCGGTGTCTTAGCAAACGGGGCAGACCCGCTGCGACCGAAGAGACCAGCAGCTGCAGAAGCACCCTCCTGAAAGCAATGCAAACTGCCTTTTCAAAGCTAGCCAAGTTTACAAAAGACTAAAAATCCCCACCAAGGATATCTGACAGCAACGTACGGATAACGTCAGCTTCTCCCCGTTTGTAGGATGCATGTTCAGACTGTGGGACACTGTGCACAGACGGCACCATCTGTACTTCCTCTCTCCCCTGTTATACACCTATAAGCAGATGCTGATGAGTCTGCAGATTTTTTTTCCACTTTTCCGTTGCAATCCATTCATGACTTTTATTTATTTAGATTTCAACCTCTCGGAAGCCACAACAATCTGATATCTTTGCTGAAATAAGACATGTTTAACAAAAACGGAATGTGTGCAAATACCCTTCTCTTCAAAGTATTTCAGAGCACCAAATGAAATTGGACAACAGCACACACATACACTTCCCGAGCATTACATAAACTCAGCTGTTAAAATTACATGCCATTATATAACAGGTGAAAACACGGGCTACAAACCTGACATCGCAGCAAGCAGCGCATGCTGACAGGGCCTTAAATGCAGATATTTAGGACAAGCTGTGATATGGCATAAACAGCCAGCATTTGACACTCCACTAGAATAAAGCAAGCTTTATTTATTCTAGCATTTTATAGGTTTTTAAATGAGCCATCATACTAGTGCGATAAAGTGGAATATGTTCCGACTGCTGCCTCTACCTTGGGGTAGAACATCTTCTCATACACTTACATCAAAATGGTACAGACAGTTTCACAGGAGTTTAAGGCATCCAGTTACTACAGCCCGAGGAAGATAAAGCTGCCCCAAACACAGCTTCAGTCAGTAAAACCCTGAGAATCTTCTAAATTGTTCCAGAGCTTCATGCCACTATACTGAGGCACTGATTTTTTGGAGAGACACTGTGCAGTAACAATGAAGTCCTACCAGGTGGCTGTGTTAAAGCCAGTCAGCAATTCTCAAGATGACAGACTGCATATAGTAAATACAGCCCAATTAGTTTAAGTGTCCGGAAACTATTACTGAATTAATTATATTCTAATAATCTCTCATCAGTAGTATTTTCACTAGCTTTGGAGGAATTCAAGTCCTATTTTTATGGCCTGTGCAAGACTTGAGTCACATGACTGAAAAAAAAACTGATTCAGAGGCAAAGAAACAAATTCTATTTATTTTTCACTTCATTAACTCCCAAAATCAGTGCTCTGTTCTTAAGCAACATTACTCCAAAGTAGAAGTTAAATACATCTCCCCCCTTTCTGTGACTTCAAACCCAATTCTGTTCTGTAAGCTAATGAAAGTCCTGTTTTTGATCCCCCCTATCCTAAAGATCCCTTCTGCTAATCAGAACTAAAGACACTGCCACATTCAAGTCCCAAATTAGGTCCCATGCATGTTTAAAGGAGCTACCAGGAGCGCAGTAAGTACAGCTCTATTAAAAAGAAATTCAATCACAGCACATGATGAAGACAGCTTCAGTTTAGAACGTTTTAGGAAATAAAGACTAACATTTTTATAACTCCAGAATTCTGTAACACACCTACCTATAAATTTACCTTAATGTATTACCTAAAGAATAATGAATGTGTACTACCTGCATTTTAAAATATAATGTTAATGTAAGGACTGACAATTTAGGATCATTATTTATTATTACTAAGTTATTACCAGCATGAAAATATGTAGAACACAAATGTGATTAAATATACCATAGCCATTTGCAAAACTAACTGAATCATAAATCACTATAAATAAAGTTATCAGAAAAGGGAAATTTTTCAAAGCTATGTAAGCAAGAGCAAAACTATGCTTAGGGTTAGCACAGCAATCTCTCATAATTGGATACTTTTAAGTCAAGTCTTGGACTAGATCCATATTCTACCTGGTATGCTGCTGGGAAGAGTTGGGCTGGAAAAGCAAGACGTAGGCATGCTGGCAGCATAACATAAGATGGTTCATACAACACTCGCCTATGCTATATTCTGCTCAAGGTAGAGCAAAGGGTCATTGTAAGCAGCAGTTTAATAAAACACACAAAGTTGAGATCAAGATGACATTTTAAAAAGCATGGTATGTGCCAGCAAAGGAAGCAGGCTTTTAATTTTGAAAGTTCATCTGAAAGACGAAAAGAATCCACATCTTTATAGCATGAAGATAACTTGTAGCTAGAAACCATGCTAATTTTCATTATCACTTCATTGATTTCTATGCAGTTAATATGCTTGCCTGCAGCTAGTATAGATGATAGACAGCTTTACTTGGGAATTGTCCCAAGTTTTAAAAATCCCCGTTTCTCTCTAGAAAGCTTTTTCATTTACATATTAGTCATTTCAGAGCTTACTGGATACGTGCTAGCCTTCTCCTGAAGCAGAACTGCTTTGCCTGCCCCACCTGTAGCTACCACATTGCACTGGTCGTCTCCTCACGGTGACATTCCCTAATGACTAACTGCAAGTGAGGCACAAGTCTGCAACCATATGCACGGTCAATTTGACACAACAGAAATCCCAAAGACAACAGATCAATGAGGGTGCAAATGCAGGCTTGCACAAGAAGATTTACAGGATTAGAGTCTCTTAATGTTGCAGTGCAAAGTATTTTTGGGATCAATTTTATTTTGTTGAAGCAAGCTCTCCAAGTGTGAGGTGTTTGAATATTTTACATTTTATTAAGGGAAAAACCTGAAGTCTTGATTTTCATATTTTGATTTTTTTTTTTCCCAAGCAAAAAGCAGTAGGTTTACTTCCCCAAATTTTTTATTCCAGGCTAGAAAAGTTTGGTAAGAGACTAACAGCAAACTGTATAACCTATCGGTAAGTAATTTTTCTCATCATGCCGATATGAAAAATCATTTAAAACAGTAAAATTTGAATCTTTATAGAAATAATTTTCTTAACTAAAAAGTCAGACTTTATTCATGCAGTATGCCACTACTACATGCATTGATAGAATTCTTTTTTAAAAACACAGACTGGAGAAGTTATTGAGAAAATACACTGCTTTCAAGTATGCATCATCAGCAAGTTCATAATATACAGACATTGTGCTTATGGGAAATACTCAACTCTGTGCTTTCAAAGTAAGCCACTTCTTTGCTTTTACATTATCAAACTTCAGCAAGTTAAGAGCTACTGACTCAGAGAAAATCACTAACTTTTCCCATGGAACAACAAAGATTTAGTCATTTGACATTTCTAACACCAAAGCATACTGCATCTTCAAGGAACACAAAACAAGCATGGTTTGAAAGTAAATGTTTTCATTATTGGTTATATTTGGCACTTCAGCAATAGCCTACATCAGCCTAAACCGGCTGCAGTCCATCCAGTTTTATTCCTACCTTGACATACCCATCCAAGCACTTGATGTGACCCTGCAGTGAGCTGGTTCAGGAAGTTAAGCTGGCAAAAAACTAACTGTACAAAAATAATCCCACAGGGAAGGCAGGGCTGATTTGGATAGGTTGGCTAAGACTGTTACTGAACTGTAGAAATCATGTATGCATTTCTCCCCTCCCGCCAACAAGATGTAAAAACATATCTATTACTGCTAGACAAGGAATAAGGGAAGTAAAGATATATGAAATGGCTGCTTCTCCATGAAATCAGAACCTCTTGGTTTTACAAACATTCAACAAAATACCTTCAGATTGCAAAGCATTCCAGGAAATAACTGATTTAGAAGAAGCTATTTTCAATCACCAAAAGCCTGCTTGAATGACTTACCAGAAACATTAATTGATGTTCCTGCATCGATAATTCCACTGTTAGGCCTTACACAGTATCTACGTGGTGCTGTGGTCTTAACTTTGAAGCACACATTTCTGTCTGTGGGATTGCCAAGTTTCAGGTTTGTAGTGACAACATCTGTGAAAGGACCTGAGGAGGAGAGCAAAAGCAATCTTGAAATCACACAGAATACTTTCAAGCAGAGGCTAAGCAGGCTCTAAATCTCTGTTCACAAATCTTATAAAGTAACTAGACGTTCAGTTTCCGTCTATGGCATGTACAGATAACCGTGCACACGAAGCCGAGGATGCAGCTAAGCCTCTGAGCATTCCTATGTGCAGCATACTCCCCCACTCACAGCACAACAGCTGAAGTTGATCATTAATAGCAAAACAAAAAGTGGGAAATCATTTATACACAGTGCCAGCAAAACAACATGACATTGAAATGATGCCAAATTCTCTGCTGTATCACAGTTACTCCATTCTAACTACTGAATCCCAGTAAACCCAGGTTACAGAGAGATACCATATATACCTATGTTATAGATGATAAATAGGGGAGTACAGTATGTTAACTAGAAAGGGAATGATAACAAAGTAGTTACTACAGATTCATCTGCATATACAAGCTGTACCTCCACAGAAGCGGGACTCCATCAGGTACTCAGAAATGCTGTACCGTAACCAGCAAGATAAGCATTCAGTGTGCATCCCCTTCTCCTACCAAGCTTTTTTTTTTTTTAATAATCCTCTTGGCTATTAGCAATGAAAAACCAGAAGAAGTCTTCATAAAATAGCCTACCACATCCCAGACAGAAAATAAGCACGTGGAAAATGGGGAATTTCTTGGGTGCTGAGAGCAGTGGCAGAGACTTCTGTATCAGCAAAATCAAACCATTGCCAAGTTCTGCAACACCAAGCACCAGCAAATCACTTCCTCACCAGCTCACCACCGAGTTGAAACTGCTCAAATCCCTTAGGTTAGAGGAAAGGCTAGTTACTGATGTTCTACAAGACACTGATGAATCAGACAGGTAGCATGCAATTGCAGTGCTTGCTCAGATGGTAAAGAAGTAAAATTAAAAGAAATATAACCACACTGTGATCAACTGTTTTCTGCATAGAAGTAGTTAATCTGATGCCTGAATAAAATATCTTCATCTATCCTCAGGAGCAAGAGCAAGGTGGTAAAAAAAATTGAACATTTCCTTACAGATATGACAGCCCTAAAATGTAAAAAGGCTGAATGATGATGATGGTAATAAGTACTAGCAGGCAACATTCCACCATCCTCTTCCTGCAGCATAGTTGGCTTAAAATAATTTAAGTTTCCTTCCTTTTCTACAAATTCATCACACAAATAAGATGATGTCTAATACAGCTGAAAAAGTATTACAGTCCTGCAACCTTTATCCTTGATCCAATTTGTAATTAGAAGGGAAAAAAACCCCAAAACAATCACACACACACAAAAACCCAACCAGACAACAACGGAGTACCATTTCTGCCTGCACTGTGAACAAGCCAGCTTTGCATTTACAATGGTAGCAAAAAAATGGAAGCAATAGAATTTTCAGATCTCGTGACAAAGACTTCACAAAACCTGTGCCTGGTGAAACACTGAGATGTGAAAGACAATGAAACACAGCTGTCAAGTTTTCTCTGTGTTTTGCATGCAGAGAGACTTTACGTCTCAAATAAGTGGGAAGAAGCAGCCATGAGTTGTTAAAGCTAAGCAAGCCAAACTATCAGAAAAAGCCAGCAAACATTTAGGTGTGTGAAGACAGTAGCAGGTCTTCAAGATAGTTCTAACTGGGAGAAGTTTAACATTTCAGACGAAACTACTTGATGCCTAAGCATTAAGGATGTGCCTTTACTAAAAAATTACAGCTTGAGCTATTCCAGCACGGAGGGAGGATCGTCTGTACAAAGCCCTACACATGCAGCTGCATCCTCAATAGTGCTTTACTAGCCTGCATGCTGGGGTAGATTTCCTGTGGGAAATACCATGTTTTTACTTGGCAGATCCATGAATGCATGTGGGATTTGTGTGCCCCAGCAGAGAGCTGCTGTTTGTAATAGTAATACGACAACAATTCTCTGCGTAAAATTTCCAAATGGAGTTACTTATTGCAAACATAGATCATACCAAAATATTTGGCAGCAAAACCTTTCAGCAGACCAAATTAATTTCTTCTTGTCTGCTTGACGTTTCCTCTTTGCTGTCCGCTAAACTTCAAACAGTTTCTTTAGATACACTTTCCCCAAATTACAGGTTTTACAGATCAGCCAGCACAACTGTAGTAGAAGGCAGACGTCTGCTTTCAGCAAACTTGCACGCAGGCATAATCCTTTCGGCATTGCTGTTAAAATACCGTAGCAAAGCAAAACAGAGCAGACAAATGCAGGACTAAAGTGCCACTATAGGTGTTTTGAATTGCGTAAGGAAAGAAATAGACAACCTGAGTATCACTCAGGGGTAATTAGGGCAGGGCAGCGAAATGCTATCAGCTTGGCTGGCCAGCCTTTTAAGAGCAAGGCACATGAACTGCCAACTCAGGCCGAAATGAAACCTTGATAGCCTGTTGTTAATTACTATAGCCTAGCGTAAACGTTTTTGAGGGAGGTTGGGGTATACGGGAGAACTGATCCCAGGATAAAAACATGCTAATTCTGTACTGGAGATACACCTTTGCCTTCTAACATCTGGATTTGTGCACTGCAGGTACAGTTGACTTGGGTATTAACAGTCGTATGAGACACACATCTACCCTACAGCTTCATTTTTCAGTGCACGGCATTAGGACTTCTGGAATCACACCCACAGATACAGTAAGATAAAGTGCTCTACATTTCTTTCCAATGTCTTTGTTCTCACTGCAAGTGGATGGACTATTTATACAAGCACATGCAACACTTGGATAACACCTATACCCCTACGGTGGGCTGTAAGCACAATTACAATCAGTCAGGTTGGCGCATCTGGATGGTACTTGGGTTAAAAGCAACAAGCTGACCCTGTAGTGAAGACTGACTCTTACTGTGTGCCTAAGCAGAAGTTGCACTCTTAAATAAAACCACAGGTTTTATTTCATAACAATCGAAACAAAATAATGTATTTTTGATTGCTCTTAATATTTTTACGTAAGTGAAACTTCTATTAAGGCAGTGACAATTCGCACTTCTTAAAAGAAAAAAAAAAGGAACTATTTTTCGCCTGTGTTTTTAGAGATCATGAGAAAAATGCCACTGGTGTCATCCCAAGGACAAAGTTATGGGAAACTCAGGGTCTGTACATGCATCATCTGACATGGGGTTGTCATGGGAGCAAGCTGCCTAGAAGGAAGAATGTAGTAAATTAAATTTGGCGGTGAAAGTTTGAAATATTCCACAAGGCTCGAGGACTTTTTCCTGCCAGTTAGAATAAAGTCAACTTGCATTAATGCAAACTGGGCATCTAGTGATATGCAAACTAGCAGTACTACTTAGAGAAAACATCACCTCCTATGCTCATGCAACAACAAAACACTAAGTGTTATCACGGTTTTTCATAGGGTCACTTTTCAGCATGGTTAGTTTCAAACTACAGCTGCAGCTTTCCACCCAGGAGCTACGCATACAACCCTTCACATTAGAAGATCACAGCATTATCTCACAATTTGCCACGCTCCATTTTCTATTCAAACACCAGTGCTGTATCAATCCTTCCTAAGAATGCCATTCTGCACTGTACTGCATTATAATATCCCAGATCATTTTACCAATAATACAAAAGCCTGAGAATTAGGTCAAAAGAACATGATATCAACTCTATTTAAATTTTAAATAACTCTCATTGCAATAAAAATTGCTCATAATTGTACCAGCAAATCCAGGCTGGTAACTTTTTGATCAGCAGAGTATTTGCTGTAAGTTTCTTGCCTCTCGCTACTCACAGTAACCATGCTACACAGCTACGTCGTCTGTACCGAATCTTAATACAATTATTCTCACCTTAACCAAAGTTCCATGCTTTAGCACAGCAAATAAACAATCCTCATACACATGTACTTTCAATGCAGCAAGAACACTGTTGTAGCACTGTTTGGCATGTAAAAGGAGTTAGCGCAAGTATCAGCAGAGGTAAAGCTTTGATGGCACAGGCTTGGGCAGGAATAGTCAAACCAAACAGGCACAGTCCTCTGCAGATTTGTACTTGCATCTTTATGATTAGCTACACACATTAGTTGGGCTACAGTCCCAGGGTTGCTTTATTCCTGCTTCAGTCTGTCTCACTGCTGAAAAAGGAGGTTGTCTGACCTCTCATCTCCACCAACTGCTTGTGCTAGCTGCACGGTTTTCATCTGGCTGAGCTGAGAGCTGAGCCAGGGAGCTGCTCGGGCTGAAAATTAATCCACTTACAAGAGAGGGAGTGAGGGAGTGGGTAGTGGGGAAGAGAAAAAGGAGAATCAGTTTTCAGCAAGATCAAGCAGCACTAAGACACTGGCATCAGGGAAACGGCATCTTTCTGCACAGCATTCTGCCAAATTAAGGCAACACGGTCTCGTATTTAGTAGGTTAAAGCTAGCACCTCTAGGCATACACTCTGCAAGTCATACTTTTCCTTATAGAGTTGGCATAGCTGTTGAAAGTAATTAAGGCACATGTTTAATTTTTTGTGCTTAAATCTAATGCAAATTCTCATCTACTCAAAGCCAGGCATCCCCTAAAAAAATTTACTGAACTGGTGCTTTTCAGAGCAAAAGCAATGCAGTAGCACTTAGTAAAATCATAGTCGAGTCATGTTAAACTGGCAATTGTTGATTACCAAGATGAAGAATAAATTCTCATCAAGCTGCCCATGTTGTTCCCAGAATATTTTAGATGCACTTTCATTATCTTTCCCGAAATAACAATTTTTGCCGCTCCAACTCAGCACCAGACATGTATCCAAAAGCGAGGTAACTGGAAATGGGCAGAAATACAGGCAGAGCTTCCTGTGAGCCAACCCCCTCTTGTACTTCCTTTGTGGAAAGCAGCAGAATGCAACAATAGGAGGGGAAGGACATATTTCATCACAGTTTAATCCCATTGATGTGTCAGATGAAAGTCATTAATCAACTGACATATTAATCAGCCATAGAAAGGTAACCAAGGAATCTTTAATAAGGGAGATGGTGGAAAGTAAAGGGGAAACTTAAACTGTTTTGTGGCAATTCTCAAGAGCCAAAACCCTACATACTGATGTGTCCTGACGAGCAGATGCCCACATGGAGCAATAATTCATCCACTGAAAGAGCCATGCTGACTCTGCCCGTGATACTTCAGGCTCCCTTCCCCACCACACACACCATGCTGGCTCCTACTCCCACAGTGGGAAGTGCCTCCCCATCAGCTTGCTCAGCCTCTCAAACTGGGGGTGCACCTCAACCTGCTCTAGCATGTACCAACCTACTGCAGAGTCCTAAGTGAGTGTACTAGCACTACCACCAAAACCACCACCACCCAAGAACAGTCATCTCTCCATCTGAACATTTACGCCTTTCTACTTATAACTTTTCTTATCATCATATCTGAATTGTTTCTCAGTTCCTTTACTATGCCTCTGACAGTACCAAGTGATTTTATTTTATTTCCACAATTTCGCCCATTTTATTTTTGGGGGTGTCTATCAGGAA